ATTCCCTCGAAAACCTCAGTACTGCGTTATTTAATGTAAAATAATAATTTCACCAACTTCTCAGTAACAGTGGGTTCCCAAATGGTGCTGCTACTTCAGAGGTCATTAATGCTCTTTCTAAACTAGGAACGTGAAGAAAACCCAACCCTCTAAACAACAACAAAAAGTTTTGCTTTTGCTTAACAAGGAACAAAGTTTAATTTTTAAAGATCTCGCTATATTATCAACTTGCTTAATTATCAAAAGGGATGGTTGGCTGAGCAGACAATTAAAATAAGGAGATACTCAGAAGGAAAAGTTCATCAGTGCATTAGGCAGACAATGGGAGGAAGTAAAACTATTTCAAGTACCTTTTGAAGGAAGCCATTTGGGAAGGAAATAGGATTAATTAAGTTTTGAACCGGTTAATTTTGTTATCTAAAAATATTTCACAGCTTAACCACTGGAACATACTTATGCATGAGGTAATGGCTGAACTCCTTCGACAGCAGGGTGAATTGCTGTTCTAGATAAAGGTATTTTAAATCAGCGTGGGACTTACTGGAGTCCATGGTGTATTCTGCAGCCGGGATTAGGATCGGGCCTTGAGACAGCCTCAACTGAGGGGTTTGAGCTAGTTCCACCTGTGCGGTGCTATTTCGCTGTACTGGATATCGGTCCAGGTGTGAACTGAGTCCCATGAAACTCAGTGCGTGGCATCAGGTTTGGTGCATGGGGAAGGTTAATTCAAATTCCCTCGAAACCTCCCATCCTGGGTGCCGTCTCGTTCTCCTGCCCTGGTCACGTCCCTTTGCATCATCTGCAAAGGGCTACCTCTGCATCAGTGCTCTCAAACATCTTTGGTGGAGCTGTAACAGTGACTTGGAGGAACAGTAGGTGAGGACACTGAAGCCAGAAATACCCACAAACAGGAATGCTTTTCCTTGTGGCACTTCATTCCCATGACCCCTCCTGTGCAGCACCTGTGCATGCAGCTCCAGGGACGCCCCAGAGGCCTTTTGGAGGGTTTCTAGGTACAACGCTAATTCAGATAAGCTCTTTCCTTGCCTTTCTTTTCCCTATCCCCCTTAAGAGGGTGTCTTAAAACTTTTCCGTCCACAGATTTTTCTCCTGAGTGGGTCCTTATGTGGTGCTGCTAAACAGAGAGCAGACATTAGCTACTGCAAAGTAGCATCGTTTGGTCACGGTAGTTACAGCCATGGAAGTTTTGTCATTGTCAGGCTGATCCAGAGCTCAGAGAAGGAAAAAGAAAGGACAGTTTTCACCAACTTTAGCTTAGAGCTCATAGGTAATCTGATATTCCAGCCCTTAGTTCGGGTTTCTTTAAACTTTATACAGTATTGTCTGAAAAAAACTAAAAGAGCCCTGAGTTCTTGTCTGAATGCAACTTTCCTGCTGCAAAGGTTTGGACAAAGGAGTCTGCGCTCCAGCTCCAAGCGAAGGGCCCTGCATTGTATAACCAGTTCCAATAATGGAATTAAATCAATGTGCAGAGGGAAGGGCGGGGGGGAGATCTGCTCACCCCAGTTGGATAGGCCTTTTGTTTAGGCCGTAGTTTTGTTCAAGGTGTGGGTGATGAATCATGACAAATTACTTTTTAGAGCTTTGCAATTTATTCACTAATGAATTAATTTTAATGGGAGCCAGCCATGGTCCTTCCAGAGCTGCTTCTGACGTGGTCATTCAGCCACAATAAGCAGTGCTGTGCCATTTTGGTGCCTGAGCAGCTCTTTTTGCAGTGTAGCCTCCTCAGCTCACCGCTGTCTCCCTTGGGGGCGCTTCCGGAGTTGAAACATTTCCACCCAGGAACAGAGAGTCTGAGAGAGCTGCCAGTCTGCTGTGTGTTCCCCAAAATATGCCATCCGTAGCTCAGTCAGCCCCACAATCTGCCCTAACGACCGTTTTATCAAATTAGCCTGCGAATGCCTGGGCACGAGTTTTGTAGCCCTTTCCATATGCAAATGTATCGGACCTTGGGGGTAGTGTCCTAGCCAAGGGGACAAGCTCAAGAGGGGACTGTGAACACCCTCTGGGAGATGAGAGCATTCATCTTGCCCCAAATCTGGCCTTCCGGTTGTTGAATTTAGGTGGGAGAAGCAAATATGTAGAGATGAAATGGGCCTGGGAGTGCTTGAAAGCAATTTTTGATATGTGGGTTTTTTTTTTTTAGGAATATTAATGTCTAGCTTGTTAATAATGATGTTTGAAGGGAAGCCTATAAACTGTCTTTCAGTTCCCAGTGGGATGGAATAAATTATTACTGTGATTTTACTGCTTAATGTAAAAACATGTATCAAATTTGGGGTTTACTTTAATATTTAAGCTTCCTCATGAGAGGAGCAGCAGAATGGCAGGGTGATTGAGTGCCCTCAAATTGCTGTGGCATGTTCCCAAAGTGGGGAACCCTCTGCTAGCCAAGCGGATTGCAATAAAGACAGCACTGCAAGCAGTCGATTCGCCACCATCTGCTGAGGCCAGCCAGCAAACCTGGCTTGTTTCCGGATACTACTCTCCAAAAAACGGTGAATCTCGGTGCCAATCTGCTGAGACAGGGAGAGCCCTGCAGTTTGGATCACTTACACAAGGCAAAAGAATTTTTAAAAAGTTTTAGCTGGTGATCCAAGTTGGGAATTGTAAGTTCTTAAGAACATTCTCCAAAAGAGCTGGAAAAAGCCCAAAGCTTGTGCCATTCAGGGAAAATCACATGGTAGGGCTTTTCCTCGAAAATCAGTTAATCTCATTTGAATAGACTTTTTGACATTCTTTTATGTCACTGCTGCTTCCAACACCCAAATCAGACAAAAACATGGTGTTTTGTCTTCCGTCTTACACTGTGTAGGGATTTGAGCAGCAATATTAAGAGTAGCCATTCCCTGAGCTGTAGGACTCATCACCCTTGCTGCATCCTGGGATTCATCTGGGATGATCTCATTTGGATCACTCTGGTTGCCCCTCTGATGTTCAAGACGACATAAAGGACAGTGGTTGTACAGAAGGGTCTGTATGCTGAGCAAAGGTAAGCAATGGTGTTGGTTTTGGGGTGGAGAGCTCTTAAATACCTGCAGTGGTAAAAAATCAACGTCCAGACAAGAGAAACTCAGTTTTAGAGAGATTATTTATTAGAAGATAAGACGTTGTTATGTACAGATTCTGTCCTGCAAAAGTGTCCTGGTCAAGCATATGGCAGGGAGGCATTTAAACCCGTTAGAGCTGGCTCTGGTCTCCATGCAGAGATACTCAAGACACAGCAGAGCGCTGCCAGGCCTGGCTCTCGCACTGGTGCAGACTTGCGAGGAGGCATCAGGTGGGGGAAGGCCTGGCACATCACAGTATCCCTCAGCTCGTTACACCGTCTTTATCTTTATCCCACTGAAAAACTTGGCACGTGGGCTGGAAACCAGCAGTGTGGACACCAGACAGTGCTGCAGAATGGGCACTATTCTCCCCCCTGGGGTAACTTGAAGATGTTTTCCCAAGTAGGGAATTGTCTTCTGTGGTGCCAGCAATGAAGATGGCTGAGCAGGTGGCTACAGAGATACTACCATGCTGTGAGGCGTTACGAGGTCAATTAAAAACAAAACAAAAAAACCCCAAACCTCTATGACACAGAAAAGACCCCCAAACCAGACCAAGCAGGCAATATCTGAGACCCAGCGGAGACCTCAGAGAAAGCAGTTCTGGCAGGCAGATCGCACAAAGGCAGCAGTTCTGCCTCATAATAGCTGTGCTCCTAGCAGTATTTCTCCCAATTTCATGGGTGACCTGTTTCATTTTGGGCTGGCAGGTAGTATTTTTCAGCCTTTTTGAAGGTCTCCGCACGGACCCTGCAGTGGCTCAGGGACTCTTCCAGGTGGACCGAGGTGAACCAGAAAGCTGCTGTGGTAGTTTTATGCCTCCTGAGCCAAACTAAGCCCTATAGTACACTGCAAAGTGCGTGGGAGGCCTTGGTGGAGAGACAAGGACAAGAACATTCGGCAACCAAATTGGAAGATGAAAGGCATCAACCATCATATTTACAATAACAGAAAGGCTGGAGACCAAGCCTTCTGCAGAAGGTTGGTTTCTCACAGCCAGTGCAGGGCTTGGTTTCATACCTGGATTTTTCTTTCTTATTCCAGGCATGCATCTTCTAGCACGTGAACAGGTACATGTAGCAGAACAAAGTGGATTGACCAGCAGCTAAATAGCTTTTTTTCCTAGTCAGCCATCGCTGTGGACATTTTTTTAACTTCTAGCAGGTTTAAGGAACGTGTTATCCAGGAGTCATCTGTCTGAGAGTCTGTCGATGGGTGCCGAGGGAAGAGGATAAATACCCTGGAGTCTGGCTCCCGAATCAGGTTTCTGCAGAATCCGTGTTCCTGTCTGCCAAAGGGGCTTTGACTAGTTCAGGATATCACCTTCACTTCACTGACCGCAAAGGGACATTTTACCCTGTTTCTCCTTGCTGAATCCACATTTATGGATCCAGAGGCTACAGGTAAACCCTGGGCATACCCCCACCTTGCCCCTCACCTTGCCTATACCATACACGAGCCTTTGTAGTGTATCAGGACGCTATCAAGGGGATTCCCCTATCCTTCCACAATACTCTGTAGGAAAAAACGATTGTCAGAACAGTCTTGTCACAAATTTAACATAATTGTCAGAAACTGCTCTTTCTGGATCAGCTATTGCCAAATCTCTTGCCTCATCTTTAATCCAAGGATGGGCTTTGTTAGTTTGGTATATTAGAAACCTTTGAAACTGAGGACTTGGCAGTGACTGTTCACAGCTGATGCCAGTGTCAGTTCCAAAGGCAAACTATAGACTTTAGAAATGAGGATGTGTGAGATGAGCAGTTCCCTGCAGACTACCATTACCGTCATGATTGGATGTACTGGGGATGGGGAATAATACTAAGGCTGCAGCTAACTGCTGCTTTGCTTTTATCTTTAGGACAGTGGCACTCAGCATTTAACAATGTATCTAAATAACTTTGGCACATATAATGACTTTTTTTTAATTAGTTTTATTCAGGTTTTATGTTCCTAAGGCACTAGGACTCCTTACTTGAAAGATGCCCTCACGAGTCTGATGTCTAGGGTCAGGAGGGTTAAAGAAAATGTTCCACAGGGGCAAAGCACGCTTAGTTGAAGGGAACAGATGCTCCTGGCCAGGTGAGTTCTCAGAACCCCTGGAGCACTTGCTGGTCAGGTCTTCAATTTTTAAGGACCATTTCCATGGTACTGACTGTGCTGAACAAGCTAGAGGAGCCCAGCGACGAGTGCTAAGAGGTATGAGTGCCGCAGCAGCCTCCAAGCAACGGGGCTTTCACTTGCACTTCTGCAAGGGGCATGGTAAGGGCCTGCGGGCCTTCAGCAAGAGGGTGTTACTGGGGGAGGAAAAGGTCCTGCTCCAGTACAGGAGCTCAGCAAGATCAAGCTTCTTGCCTACCACAGCTTTACAGGTTTGACCTGAAACATAATCTGCGTTAGCTAAACGAACCCCCCTTCCCCTCTCTCTCACCCCCACACCGTCTTAAATCAATGGTGCTGGTGCAGTTGAGGGAACGAGGCAAAGGTGGAGACAAGCAGCCAGATGATGGACCAGGGGCCATGCTTCCCTTTGCTGCTCCTGTCCCAGCCTAGTTTGAGGTCTAACTCCATTTGGTCAAGTGGAGGGGGACAGACCAGATAGCAGAATGCCTGACTACAACTGCAGGCTAACATTTATAGGTAGCTTTTTGTCTCCATATCCACCCTCTCCCCTTCCAGAACTGTTTCTTCAACCATGTGTGATGTTCCTCCTAGGACTTCCTGAGAGAGAGAGAGAAAGACAGACAGATAGAGCGAGAGACAGAGAGAGAGACTGATTTTTTTTTGTTTTTTCTCCAGAATATGTGCATGAAGGCAGGAGGCGTGGGAGTCTATTTCTTTGAGATCAGACTAAACTGGCCCCTAAAGCATGTCTGCAGTCATGTACTGCATGCTCAAGAGCATCCTCGAGGTGCCATTCTGGCATGAGCTTGACTTACCGGATCTCTTTGGGTGCCCCCGCGTACCGAGGGCTCGCAGGAGGCGTGCTGCAAGGTGGCAGGTAGGGTCAGCACTCGGGAAGTGTAACAGAGAGGTTAGCTGGAAAAGCTCAAAGCACAGCAGTGCAATTCTCTGGGACTCCAACAGCATGCTGCATAGGGAACGTCACCACCGCTTTGTGGCACTAAACAGTCACTATGTTTTGAGTATCTCAGCTGGGCATGTAAGACCAGTTCTAACAATATGCAAAAGGAAGCACATGTTCTCATTTGTATAGTGTATGGCATTACAAGGGAATAACCTGCTACACAGAAAGATTTTTAACATTAATTACAGTACCTCTTTATCATATTATAGTTTAACTGCCAACCCTTTCCCTTGAAATTAGTAACCAATGTACATAATATAATCAAACAAGCTTTTTTAAAAAGTACATCTTAATATAAATAGTTTATTCAGTGCATGGTTGTGTATACAACAAATAATAAACAACTTTCTTGTACGAGGCAGAAAGCTGCCTGTACAGAACTATGTCAGTTTTGGAGCACAGAATCCAACGATGATTAATGCACAAAATCTTACACGTCATGCAACTCTATGCCAATAGTCCAACTTTCTCCCATGCAACAGACATGATGACCTAAATGGAAACCTAACTACATTTTTTTAAACAATTGTTTCCAATAGCATGTATAAGTATATGTTGTTTAGGGGTAACCTGTCCTAACGCTCCTCCTACACAATATTCACGTGCCCATTACAGTGAAAGAAGGACTTTTACAAATAAGACATTTCTTATAAAAAAATTAAGTCACCTTAATTCCACAGTTTCTGTCTTTAGAAAAGAAGCCACAACAATAGTTTAACATGACACACAAAATGGAATTAAGAGAAATCTACACTGGAGGATAATTTTATCCCTTTCCATTAACTTCCACTTGGGATAACAAAACAACTCAATTCCTACAGACTGGGGTTAGCACAAGAACTTTACCAGAAACTACAAATCTATAAAAATTTATATTTCTTTGTGTTTAAAACCACAAGAACACTGTTCGCTTGAGCCTGAGACACCAACTCTCAGTTCCAACCCTGAATTTTTTAATTATTTCTTTTTAAAGACGTAGCTTTAAAGACCCATTGGAGTTCAGAAATCAAAAAGTTGCACTATTCCAAATTAAAGGATACCTTTTTTTTATCAAGCCTTAGATATAAAACGGTAAGCCAAGGAAACAACAGAGTTTACATATTTATTTTTGTTTGCCCCTATAAAACATATAAGCATTAAAATTTCCTTTGAAGAGCAAAAGTGGTCTTTTTCTTAGTTGGAAAGCAAATTCTTATCAGCAGTGAATGCTGTGAAATGTTTTTGTTTCGTATTCCACAAAGCATAGGAGAGAAAGAGAGAGAGAGAAAGAAAGAGCTGGACATTTCTTCTCCGAGATTTATTCCGCAGTTATGTTTGCTGGCTATCCAAATGCCTTGTGATATGCACAAGCATATTCTACATTATTGGGGTATATCCTTTGACAACCAGTAGATCTAATGGCTGATAAACGAGTGACCTATGCAAGTTCGGTGGCTTGTCCTGGGCAATTGAACGTTTGGATGAAAGACTGCTAGTAAGAATTCAACTGCATCCAGAGGTAAGGTTCTGTTTAGAGAGCACTTGGCTTGCCTTAACCTGGCTACGTTGACTCGTTTTGGCTCATGGATTTACCCCCATTTAGCACTCCTGAAACACTTCTGCTCTTTGTTGGGGTCCCACTTCCAGATCTTGAGAATTCTGTGAGATCGTGGAGAGAAGGCTCCTTGTACATGGCCACTGCAAAGCAAAGGAGAGGGCAGCACGTCAGCACGGGTCACGGGCTACGCGTCAGTCGGTGCCACATCTGGCTGTGAATCACGCACATTTTTCATTCAGCAATAAGCAGTGTAAGGCAGGAATGAAGGAAACATAGCTGCTCACTGCAAGGAGACCTCTTCCATTTCAGATGCTTCCTAAGAAATTCTGAGAGCCTCTTTAGGAGAATGACATTTCAGAGACAGGAAAAAACACTGCTTCCTCCCCCTCCCAATTAAATCACCCACTTAACGACTGCACATACAAAATGCTGCAAGATAGACCTGAGCTGATATAAATCAGCACTTGCTTACTAATGGTGAAGTGCTCTGGCAATAGCTACGATCTGACCTGTTAATTGTATACGTAGTCCAGGCAAATGGGTGAGAAAATGGATTTTTAAGACTTCTGTTTCCTTTGTTTCAACACACATCAGAAGTGGGAATCAACCCCAACATCAGTTACCTAAAACCTTGTCCTATATTAGCCTGTCAAGCTAGACCAGCCATCCATCCAGGGCTATGCCTCTTTAAAATATGCTCTCTGATTTCAAAATGACACTGCGTTACAAGGTTGCTTCGGAGCATAACCCAGCAGTAGAGGGTTTCATTCCTCTTGAGGAAGAAGCATAAAGAAGTTCGCTCTTCTGGAGAACGGGGAGCGCCTCCATGCCATGGCTGAGACCTCTCTCTTTGCGTTAACCCAAGAGACAGCCTGGTGTGACCACAGTGCTGATTTAGATGCTTCAGTTAACTGGGATGAATCTAGGTCCCAGCTTTTAAAACAAAGCAGCACATGTATCCCTCATGCATTACCTTTAATTGTCACATGCTGGTGCCCTATTAATTACAGTTTAATTAGCACTGCGCATTACAGCTTTATCTCAGGCAAAAATGGACAGACAAACATCCTGTAACATAAAGCACAGAGTGACAAGATGTACAGCAAGATGCAAAGGGCCAGGGAGCAGGTGTTTGGGCCCCATTCCAGGTACAGCCTTCATCCTGTACAGAGGTGACACTGTGGACTTTGGGCACAAAGCAGCTAATATACCTATTTGGTTAGATGAGAAAAAGAAAAAAGTGGAGAAACCTGAAAAAAAGCAGCTGTGATTACATTAATGGTGTGTTACAAAATGTTATACTCCTCTTATATAAGCAGCTGAACCCTTCCAGCGTGTATGCACAGCAATTAAACATTTCCGACACAATATAATGTCAGCTCAGATAAATGGAGCAAACCAAGGCAATTACCTTTTAATGGTTTTGGAAGAAAGTGTGCTGCAGGTTTATTTTTCTTCACATGGTTTCCTTTCATTATTTCTCCTTCTTTGTTAAGACCCAAATACCAACCCCGGCCAGACTGTTGCTGTCTGTAGATCATTGAAGAATATGTCACATAGTAGTTTTCAAATACTGATTCTTTGAACTTGCATTCAGGTGTAAAATGTTCCTGTAAAAAAAGTAACCGATCAATATGTGCAGCGTTGAATTTCACATCAGTTAACGCAAAAGTATCCAATATTCGTTGCTTTTCCAATGGTTAAAAGACGTACCTCTCACCCTTCACTATCAAATTATGAAACATTGGCCCTAAAAGTATTAACAAAAGAAGGGTAACGCAATTTGAAACCTGTGAAATGACGCCGTGAGCAGCTCAGAGCAGCATAATAAAATCTTTTTGAACAACGAGTGAAAACTCTAAGTGAAGAATTATTGATTGATGCAACTAATGGATATTAGGCAGACGTAGTCCTAGTGCCAACCACAAGGGACCAGCTGTGGCTCGGCCCCACAGGCGGGAAGTTAGGACACGTAAAGCCTTTGTGCATTAACCACTGCCCTTAACTGCTTGCGGGGAAAGTGCAATACAAATTCAAAGCCAGGATGCTGTGAGCAAATAGTCTCTTACTAACCCAGCAATATTAAGTTAGCCTCTAGCAGCTGCCTCTGACTGCAAGTCTGGCTGTCGGAGACCCTCCGGAGACATCAGCCCCTGCTCCGAGAATGGTAAAAGTTAAATGGTACTAGGGTGACGAGCCTGTAAGATCAAGCTTTAGTCCCCATGTTGAACTGTACTGCTCTTTTGGGAGAGAGAGTGTTGGGCTAATAGTTAAAATAAAGAGCAACAAAACAGGAGAGAGCCTTTTACTCCCTGCCTGCAGACTGACGGGCTTTCACCGTGTAATGGCCTCAACTCAATCAATACCTTTGGGCACGATCGTCTAGACCAAAAACAAAGGATGTAGGCATGAAACATGGAAAGATGGTCTTAGATGGATGTAAACGCCAGTCCTGAAACAACCACTCACTCGCTTCCTAAGTCAGTCCTCTGGGTTCTTTGGTTTTTTTTTTTAACATTACAGGTTTTGACAAGGTCTCACCTACGGCCCCCTGAAAGTCCATCAAGTAGTTTGGTCTGGTCATGCAGATGTAAATAACACAATCCTGCCTAGCGCCACATTTCAGAGCAGCCAGCTGCGAGCTAGTCTCTATTTGTGAAGTCAGCCAGCTTCAGCAGAGCTGTCCTTGTGCATAAGTATCCTACAGCAACGTGAAAGAAAGGAAGAAAAATTGAGCTGGCATAATGATTGTAATTTTGATTTTAAAAAAATCACAGGAAATTAAATGTCTCAGGAGCTTAAGATTTTCTTATCTAGTTTCTCAAATATTCTTGTCTGAGAAAAAGATGATATTTTAAAAAAAAACACTATGCATTTTCTCCACATCTTTTGCCGTTTTGTCTTCTTGTGTGATAAAGAAAAAAATTCACATCCTCTGACTGGCATTTACTTCAACAAAGAATGTGAAGCAAGCAATTTTCTCCCTTTCCTTCAAGCTAATTGGCTGTTATTTAGTTAATTGACAATTGGTTTCAATCGCTGTCAAGCAGGGACAGTCACTGTATTTTTACAAGATTTCTAAATAAAAGCCTTCCATCACTTTACCCTGCCCAGTGCTTGCCGTGTTAATAAGGGCTATTGCAAGTATATCATCCAATTAGCAGCCAAATGGAAAACTGCAGTGCTCCTGCTGGAAGATTATGGTTTATGTACAGTAATTTGGAGCTGTTTAGGGTACAAAAGGCCTGCCTGTATGCCGTGCCGGAGGTGCAGGTCACGAACAGAACTGCACATTTACTCCAGCTCTCCCCAAGGAAGCCAGCTACCTGCAGCACGAGCCCCTTCCCGCGAGCTCCAGCGCTTCGCAGAGGACCACAATGCCACCAGCCCCGGTCTGCAAAACGGGAGAGAGTGAAACACAGTGGGGAAACAGACAGAAAGATGCTGAAAACCTGTTTCACCCTTATTTTTCCCTTGGGCTAACAAGCCCATGTCAAATCCCCTCCTGTTTATTCCAGCCCTAGACCGGACCACCTCCTTCACCTGACTGTTTGGCCCAAGATCACGCTCCCTTGTCTTGACCGACATCTGCATAACTCCTAGGCTATGGCTGCAATCTGAAAAGCTGATGTGCAGTGGGAAAGGCTTCCTCCCTTCCAAATAAAAGTCGATCCCCCCATGAGCCATTTGCAGAAGCTGAAATGCTCTGCTAGCTCCTCAGTACCCAGCAGCTGCACCCAGCACGGCTCACCTTCTGCAAGTGTTTGTGCTCACCCGTTTCTTGCGTTTAGTTTAATCCAATATGTGTCTTTGCTACTCGTTAGAAAAAGATTGGGGGAGGAGAACTGCAGAGGGAAGTTTGAATTAGGCACACTAACAGAGGTGCTCCTGATTTGGGGGTGTTACAATTAAAATATACTTTCCTGAGCTTGGCAAGTCCATGCGCCGGCCCAGCTGGGTACACACTGGGCTTCTATCAGCCCATCAACTAAAACACAGTGCAGGGCAGCAAGTGCAGCATGGCCATTACATTATCTTTGCTGGCAAATTTTTTAATAATGTACTCAAGAAATGCAGAGGGCCTGCATTCCAAGAATGCAGAGGGCCTACACTGATTGCCCAAATTAAAACTGCCCTTTTCTAGCTCATGTAATTAATCTGATTGAAAATTTATACATATACATAAGTGTTGAGTTCTAAGGCCTTGAACAGACATATCAATAGATGTAAGTGTACAGTGATCGTAATGTCTTTCCTGGTTTTTCCTGTCTCTCAGCTGTCCATCTTTGCAATGAAAATAATTTGAATGAGATCGGAGGAGTCATGTGCTATGAATACATTGTTACACAGCACAGATAAAAACCCAAATATTTGTGTGAAACAGCATTTCCGGCTGCTTACTTCAGAAGTCAAGAATGATGCTATCTATGCAACAATAAATCGCACACACCTGAGCCCCCCAAACAATGAATGAAAGAATGAATGAATGAATAAAACTTTAATTTAAAGTACTGGATTCATTGTAGCCATGACTCAGCCATGCTTAAGTAAACAAGGGGAATGAACTGTCAGAAACTTCTTCTTGCTTTTGATCTGATCAGCTGAACTACTGAAATGTATGAATACATCTGCGGCTGCATTAAATGTGAAAAAGAAAAAGAATAATTTTGTGTACGATAATATAGTAAAAAGGCATTGTAGCATACACTTAGAGTGGCTGTATTTCCAGGCAGCTGATTAGATTACCAAGGCAAAGAAAAATTGTAACTTAAGTAATTTTAGAAACATCTAAAATGGTCCAGTCTTTTCCATACAAAATACTGTGTTATGGCTCTGCAAAAGCTGAAAGCTAAAATAAGGTTAAAGCAAAGCTGGAATTCTTCCTGCTCTCATTGTGCAAAGGCCTCAGGTACAAGCCAAACATTATCCAAATTATCAGCCACCAAACCCACATACACTGCAGGACGGAACAGTAATGATTCTGGCCCCCAAATGCTGGTGACACTGGAGTTTGAACCCCTCCTCCCCGATAGAAAATGGGAAATCTGAATTAAAGATAGATATTTAGCATCTTCAAGTTTCTGATATATTATAAAAGACTCTAGTCAGGCTGGCTGTAGGCATACTGCGCATAGGGAGGTCGAAGATGCCTGCTCAGGGCAATTTAGTGTATATTGTATTTACACCGTGAATACCATCAGCAGGGGATGTGACCAAATACTTTACAGAGTTGAAAGTTCAAGTCATTAGGCTGTTTATTAAATTTCTGTAGATGACTATACTTTGAATATCATCAGCAGCTACTGTACAGCAGTTTCCCAGAATAATCTGAAATTTTATTCAGACAGCTTTATTACTAGGGGCATGAATAAACATTAAAAAAAAAAGTAACTTTGGAAATACTTGGGAAAAGTATTGGGATACTTGGGAAATGTTCTAACATATTGAGCATAAAGTTATATTCCATTTAATCAATGACTCTGTCTGCTTTTGGGATTCATTCTTTATTTTCTCCACCTAATGAAAATTGGATTTCTTTTCCTCCATATCCCGATTTCTTTGAGGACTGTAATGTAGCCCAGGATTCCATTCTATAGTCATGAATTTTTGAAGGAGCCTCTTTAAGGCTCCAGAGTAGTGATTTTCTGCGCCAGTGAGCCTGCCTTTTTTATTAACAGAGATTGATTTTCTCCATCTTGGCATGTGAAGTTCCAGGGTGTATCCTCTGGATCATCACCCTGTAATGTGCAGTGATATCAACAGCACAAGATGTGAATACTTCAACTTTTAAGTTACCAGAAATAACAACTTCTGGAGCACCTGTATGAGAAGACAGCGTGAAGAAACTGGTATTTTGTGGAGCCACCAAAATCTGTTTGCTGCAATGATGGAAACTTATAATTCTCTTGACGCAATTTATTCCAGATAAGGACTAACATATTATAGTTCCCACAGAGAGGTTCCACTCCCAAAAGGGTGTCTATTTTGCTTAAATTTACCTATTGTGAGGAATCTTAGTGATTTCAGTGGGAGCAACTCACAACACAAGAATACGCACAGATCTTGTAGGGCCGTAATTAGGAAATCCATTTGACCATGTAATCATGACCACGTACAACAATCGCTGGTCATGGCAAAGGAAGCGCTTTTTGAAAAGCTGCGTTTATACGGGCCTTGGAAGCCAGATGCCGTATCAGTACTTATTCCAGGTGAGCTCTTGCAAAGACATTGTAGGTACCCTAAAGTCCTCAGAGAGCACTGAAAAGCTGAGCTAACCACTGCTAGAGCAAAACCCAACTGTTGAACAGGAATTTGTGGAAGGGTGTAAGAGTTCACCACAGTCTGAAGGCATCGCACTAGCTGTGCGATTGTTCAGGGAAGAAAACTAAATTCAAAATTATGTAGATGAGATATATTAAATTCTTTAATTATGAAAATCCACTTACTGGCAGGAGTGACAGGAAGGCACAATTTCTCTAAAAAGTGATCCCAAGCAATTCCATAGCATATGGAACATATTCTGTTTATTGCAATAAACAGAATTCTGTGAAGCACAAAAATGCTATGGTGTGTAAATTTATTTAGGACATAGCTTCCAAAAAGAGCAAAA